GCCACTGACTGACAAACATAACTATTTTCAGCTGATTAGGGACAAGAGACTGAGACCAGTTGATTGATAGTGTACGATTGTGAAGAACGAGTGGCACACGTGAAACAAATGCAGCAACAATGTGCATTCAGAACCTGTACCGAGGTGGTAAAATAGCTACAAACAGCAGAAAATAAACCACCCGAAGAGACTGTAGCAGATCGTGCGAAAACGGGGGAGAGGAAGAAAAACATACTGATGGCATGATGGGTTACATGATTTGCCATTCAACGCTTTATGGACTCTCTATGGAAAACTCCCATTCAAATTAATCTGATGTCCCTCACTAAAGTTTCCTAGGAAACTTACTTTTCTTCCCAAAAAAGAATTGCCGATGTGGTCGTACGAAAGAGCGGGTTCGTCAAAGCGGGCAGCCATTGGTCTAAGTATCTCAAAGACGTTCACCCTTAGAAGGGTAGATTTGTACAAGTAAAAGCCTCTGTCGGACAAAGTACACTAGGTCGCAGTGGCTATTTAAAATGAGATGAACATCGCCGAAGGCGTTTTCCCAAGCTGATCTTAAACCCAGATTTCATATGTGCGAAACGATCACGAGGAGCACGTCACGAGAGAATTCCCTCGTGTGCAATGGAATGTCGCCGATCATAGCGACACGTGAGATCAGCACCAGAGATTGCCGTAACCAAGCCAGCAGCCATGGTGACACGCGAGGCATGAGAGCTTGCATTCTTGAGTTTGCACGGGAGCTTGCATTAACTTCCTTTGCTATTTGATAAAATGTATGCTAAACGCTTGTAAAGGTTAGTACGTCTCCAGTTGACTATATGCAGCCCTAGCTTACCCTGAGGAACATCAGAAATGGTCTTCCACTAAGAGTGTTGACCTGGTCTTTTCGGGTTCCGGGGAGATTCGATTCTAATGTGGTCAAGTCGAAATACGAAATGTTTGCTCAAGATGTTGCGACTCGCTCAAATGTAAGATGACTTCGTTCGTTTGATGCTGGCGTAATCTCGCTGGAATCGACGTCTTGCACATGCACTATGACATCATTTTTAGGCAGGATATCCCCCTTCAGATACCGTTGCAAAGCACTATGATCCAGCAGGTGGCTCTTTGCCATTTTTTTTTTGAAAAAGAGTTTAGAGGGTATTCCTCTCACGTTTTATGAGACCTCACACAACCATTCCGCAGGAGTCCCTCAACTAACCTACTTTGGCATACAGAGGATGACAATGACGGCCCAGCATACACAATGAGGAAGGATAAAAATCGCTGTGTTCCTGCAAAGGATAAAAATGACTCCGAAAGAAAAGGCAGTTTCAGACTTGGTAATTTCCTTGGTAGCTCCAGTTCTGAATTACAGGAAGAGAAAAACCTGCAGAGGTGGTAATTTATTGCCCCCGCAGGCCAAGCCTCTATGACTACCGGTAGTCGCTCGAAGAAATCAAAAGTGGTCGGCAGAGATTGTGGGTATTCATTCTCATAGTTTTCAATAACCGCTACTCCGTCTCTCATCACATTTAGGAATGACCACAAATTGAGAGATGAAGCTTTTTCTGCGCAAAGCTGCTTGTTCACGCTGTAAGAAAAACTTTCACCTCGAACACTTTGTGTTCTGATGTCATATCCCGAAAAAGGTTGTGAGTTTAGTAGAATAAGCGCAATTTCGCCGCACCGAATAGGATTGAACCTTACCGAAAAGGATGCTCCACGATAGTTAGAGAGAAATAAAATTATTTTTTGAAAGCTCGAGATTCGATTGAGACAAAGTGGAGGTGCACGCGTGATTTAAACGAGCCTGGTCTCCGGGGGACCGTGCGCTGAAACCACCAACATGTTGGATTAAAAGTAAGCATTTCGATCTGATCGAGGTCTGCAACAACGCCATTACGAATCTGCTCGAACCAACCTGCAGAGAAGGTCATCATGGCGAAAATGCAAATGACATTATGGAGATGACCGACATTTCTTTGTGATACACTTTACATTTGGTAAAGTGAAGTGGGACAGAACCGGAGAGCCCGTTACTTTATGATGGAATAAAAAAGGAAATGGTGTCAGCATTAAGAGTGCTGCTTGTTTTTGTTCTTGACATATGTTCTCAATTTGTTGAGCATTGTCAAAGCCACATCATCCAAACTGATTTTGTAGACTTTAGCTTTCGCAAAAGCGGTCCGACTCGGAGGGCTAGAGAGGTAGAGTTGGAACAGAAACAGATAACAAGCATAACATTTCTCAGAAGCATGTACCGCTTCTATTTGAGCTGCATCTCCGCCCAGTCTATGGGTTCATTGACCTTTTCCCATGTGCAACGTTGTCGTCGGACGATTTTCTTATACATATGGAGACTGTTTACTATGAAGTCTAGGTCAGTAATCGACCACATGGTCACTCGAATCAACAATTTCCTATTCGAACTAAGTGACCCAAGCACTTTTTCATTGGTGCTAGTTTGATACTTCATTATTTCTAGCTGAACCACTGATTGTTTACTTATGTATTTGAGTCCAATGTTTGCATTAGACCACCCGCTTTTACCAGACGTCTGTGCAAACGGTGTTACAGAAGCATACAACTCTTTTTCTCCTGCTGTTTTATCCTAATCATTTTGTAGAAAACTAAGGGAGACAATCGTCGGATATCAGCAAGAATAAATGTGGTAAGGTTGTCGTCTGGACGGAGACCTACAGAGAGCCAGAGGAGGAGAAATGAGCACAGAGACTGAGTACTAAAGCCAATCTTTTCCTAATAATTTCCCACCTAGTTGACTGCAGGATCTCTCTAGCCGTCGGAAAGATTTTCAGACAATTTGTGATGATCTACCTTACAAAATCAAAAAAACAATAAATACGTAACTGGAATGAGGACTGGGACGCACATCTAGATAGGTAGGTTCCTCACGGATTCCTGCTTGCTGTGGGAACTACGAGGTTCTTCTTTGATCACTACTTTACACCAATAATTTTCAAAGATGTGGGATGGGAGGAGCCTTAAGGGCACTGCTACTTTTGCCAGAACGCCGGCTGTCCTCAGTTTTGTATGCAACGGGAACGTTTGTAAACAAAAAATGAGAGCGTAAGAGTTAGAACTCATGCGGACGCTTATTTGCAGTGAAATGAAAAGTACAGCGAAAGTTTACTGAGACAATTAAGTTGTGAGAGAAGAGACTTAGCACTGAATCGGTCACCTCTCGTTGACGAAAACATCTGACTGAATAGAGGAGTGGAAGCGCTGTGCGAAGCCTCATCGATCCGTTAGCTTTGCAGCGGCTAACACACACCAGAGCTATTCAGAGCTGGTGGTGGGTGCAGCCGAGAGGAAGACGGTTGGGCTGCCTGAAAGAGAAGGAGCGTACAGTTATTAGGAACAGCGCGAAAAATGTAACTGGAGCACTGTAATCAGGAACCGCTTTTGATTTTTTATCACTGTCGAGAGAACGAGAAGCAAAGAAAGAAAACAAAACTGAAGCTAACTGATTTTGACTTGGAGGTCAGAGAAAGGAAGGAACTGAGATAGTACACCAAGGTGAGCTCAAAAATGACTTCCATCGAGGTCAAAACGATTCCAAATGCTGTCAAATAGGCAGAAATGTAAACAATTCAGTATTCTTTGACCGCGTAGGTCATTTGAAGTGAAATGTTATGAATGATCTGCACACAAAACGGAGTCAAGCCACCGCTAATGCTCATACTCAGTCCGAGTTTCTCAAGTAGCGGTTCCTCTTGACTGAACAGCAACTGTGCATTCTTGTGTTTGCAAATTTTCATAGACTCCAGTAAGCAGTTAATCTATTATACATAGAGCCAACAGCGTTTTTAGTCCAAGCAAAGGAAGTAAATAAAGAGAAGTTATCTTTGTAGCAGAGAAGCATTTAGCTGCATTTCTCTACAGAAATTTGAGGAGAAACGAACCATGTGTAGCTACACGGATTTCATGGCACTGCGGGCTGGCAAAACAAAACACCATCCTTATCACATTCCTAAAAAAAACCAATATCGCTCGATTGACCGTTGTGTTATTGAGATGATACTGAAGTCGATCGCCAACGTTTGGAAGTGATCAGAAGAGCTTACTTAAGAACGCAGTGCGAGAAATCATAACGTCGTAGTTGATTGAAGTTTAGCAGTAATTAGAAGCGAATATAAGACTTCCGAGTAACAGCAGCATGCGGTCAGCAGCAGAAATGCCCTTAAAGAAACGACTGTCAGTGGTTGACGGTAAAAGAGAAAACGGAGACGACGGTGGACAATTTTGTACAATGCTTGGTTTTTGAAAACACATCTCCCAAGCAAAGCGATTATGGTTGGTTGAAGAGACGTTGGGTGGCATTCCTTCCTGTGCCCGCTCGAGGACCAGAGAGATAGTGTTGGTCGATCCCACTTATGTGCTCTCCCCGCATGCAAGTAGGGTGCTCTTGTTAAGGGCGAAGTGACAGATGCACTTAGAGAACGATGGGTGCATTTAGGGTATGGCTAGGAAACTGACGCTTTTTGAGGCTCAGTTCCTGGTGAAAATTGTTTCTGAAATCTTCCTGGGATGTATTAAACCTCCCAAGGATGGCGCGAGAGACGCTGCAAGGTCGAAAAGAAGCCCGTGGAAGTGGAACATTTCAACTCCGGGGAAGTAAAGTAAATATTCTGTGGCGTTTTATTTCAAAAACACGGTAAGCACACTGCAGTGATAACGCCAGTCAATATAAATATAAATACCAATCTGAGGTTGGTCGATACACCCATTCATATCGAATTGTTGTGTAATTAGCCGGTTATTCAAAAATTCATACTATTGAGAAGTTCATAGTCAGAGGAAGAGATATAGTGATATAGTGGTATAGTGGAGTGTTGCTGTGAAGGTAGCAATCCTAATGACTAACCGATATGTACTACTCTACATGGGCTGCTAACTACTCGTTTTTCCAAACTGAAAATGGAAGGAAGAACGACAAGCGTCAGCATGCCAAATCATAAACGAACCGCTTTTGCAGTTTTGCCAATTAGACTATACATAGTGTTTCTTTCGCTCCACATCTCGCCAGTGGCGTCGACAGCATTCGAGCCATGTCGATTGAAATCAAACTTCTCCTCGTCGAAACGGATTACCTGAATCCACAAAGTCACTTTGTAACATGAAAAGCACCGCTAATTTTACAACAGACCTTCTAACCCTTCCGAAACCTGCTTCCGGGCAAACTCGAAATGGGCTGATTCATCATTATCTGTAAGTTGTGGTGCTCTTCTCATAACTTCCCTCCCTATGTTGCTGCTGCGTCTGATAGCCCTCCAGACGGTCGTTTCAGAGAGAGTTTGCCTCATGTCTGCTCGAATCTGATCGACACTAAAGCTACTGTTGGAAGTCAGCCCCTGAATTTGCCGCTCATCCCTTGCGAATATCATTCGCCTTTGTACAGTGGCTCTTCCATTATCGTTATCCCCAGGATTATCGAGGTAAGAGCAGAAAATACAGTGACTCCTGCCGATTTGCTTGGCGATTTGTCGATTGCCTAGTCTGGCATCGCGGAGAGGCCGAATTCGGACTCTTTTTTTCCGTGGGTAGCCAAGAACTAGGTGATATAGCGACAAAGTCGCGCTGTTCAGGGTAGAAACATACATTCAGGTTGGAACGGAAAAAGTTTCATGTCGTTTACTAGGGTTGGAGGTATAAAGTGAAACGCTCGAAATTTGAAGGGATATTTTTTCAAAAAAATCTGAGATTCTCTTATTACGAAACCGGTAATGTATAGAAAAAATTGGGACAGCGTGCATCTAACGATGTCAGTCCCCATATTTAAACAGCCGACTGGGTGCCGCTGTGTGCTTTCACTGCGTTTGGAGCAAGAATTTTCTTGGAAAACTTCTAAGGTTGATAACTTTGCAAATGAAACAGTCATATTCTGATACCAGATGATGCCACGGCGGGCTTCAGCGTCCTTACCACGGGACATTTCGCACCACAAAGCCTAAGCACAAATAGGGCATGCTCGCGTCCCAAAACACAAATGCTTAACTCAAAAGCTTATCCTTCTCTTCTTCTTCTTTTTCTTCTTCTTCCTAGGATTAGTCCTGCGCCGTTGCAGGGTCTTCTCAGCCGTCTCCACTTTTTTCCATTTACGGCATCTTCAGCCGTTACTTAAGCTTCGGCAAGGTCCTTCTTGATCATGTCCCACCACCTCTTCGTGGAACTTTCCGTGGTCGCTAACCCTCAGCTACGAACTCCATTGCCTCAACTATTGGATGATTCTGTGATCTTCTCAGAGCATGATCGAGCCATTACAATCGCTGCTCTGTCACCTTCGGCCGTGCTGGAGCTGTTTGCACAGCCGAACTGGCATATTCCTTCTGATCCAATCCAGCTGCGTCCAACC